ATTACTGTTCATAACACAAGTCCATGTGGGAAATGTGGTGGACACAGTTGCATTGAGGCATATACTGTTCCATGTTCTTCAGTATTCCCCTCTGACCACCTTGTAACCCATGGTCTATATTCATTTCCCACTGCCCCTGACAGGTGTGACAGATCTGACCAGTTGACAGATTAATCATAACTTCAGTCCCAGAACAAGGTCAAAGTAGAAGTTAAGTTGGGTAAGCAATAGGCTGTGGAGCCTATAATGCAGATTTCTTCCAAATTCTTTCACAAAATAGCCCTAATACAGACTTTCACTGCACTCATACTTTAAGATATCAATACCTATACAAGTAAAATGCACCACATGAGTTTTATGAACAGCAGCAGGTTAAATGTGGCAAAGAAATACAGTGGCAAATTGAATGCCAATAGGAAATGAGAACAGCTACGTTCAATCAAAATGTCATCCTCAACATTTAAACTTTTAATGTTTATAAACTACCACACACAACACTCTGAAAAACTCATTAACCTTTATGGGGTTATTATGAAGTTATAATGGGCATATTTCACCATTTTGTAAACATTTGTTCTTACAATACAAATGAGAACAATATGGTGGTTGGAGACTAAGGAAGAATATTTGAAGCTAATTTTCTAAAGATAAAACATCTCATTTCAGGCAGTACATAGCATATAAAACACAAATATTGTTTCCTACTTTTTTGAGAACCATTACATACTGACAACTAGCTGAATTTCCACTCTCTGGGCAACAACAGAATGCTAGGACAGTACGAGACATTTCTAATAGAACAAATAAATGTCAGGAGAAACTGGTTCGTATGTTTAGAAATCCACTATATCAAGCTGAATTAATTATCAATATTTTATACACTACAAATTAGTCTACTGCTCTGTCATTAGTGCAACACATCATCGGCTTCAATTAACTGAAACCCATTATAAAAAAGTAAATAAAATTTGCATTTTCCTCTTATGCGGAATGATCTGAACACAGTGGCCATGTTTGATTTGTGATGTTACATACTGAAAACAAATGAAAAATGTAAAGGTTTCTAAAATATATTTCCCAGCGACTGTTTATGTCATCATTTATAGAATACGCTTACAATTAATTTGCTGAGTAACTCTGTTACATATTTCATGATCATTTTTCTGCTTCCTGGTGCCACATTTCAGCAAGGAGTGCCATGAATAGATTCCTGTTTGAATCCTGTTCCAGTGTTAGTAGAACACACTTGAGCATATGTGCATGTATAAAGCACAGAATTATGTACTGCATCACTTTCATACTGTCTTCTACATTTGTGGAAAAGTTAACATATTGTGATATTCCTGAAAATAAACCAGTGTGGATTATAAGTTAAAGAGAGTGACAGACACTGGCTTTCAAAAATTCATAATTTATAAAACGGTTTATCATTTATGTTTTCCTCATGCCCTTTGCCACTTTTGAGACATCAAAAAATCTGCTGCAGACATTATGGCCTTTCTGCAATAACCCCTTTTCCTGGAACAATCAGAATATGTCTGCTACTTGGCTGGCAAGCCATCTTAACATGGGACCTGAGACAATATTATATTTCAGCATCCTGTTACACTCACACAATATATATGGATAAATACCGTCTTAAGTGCAACAAATTTTTATTGTAGTTTTATTGTAGTGTAGAAGTAAAAACTACAATAAAAATTTGTTGCACTTAAGACGGTATTTATCCATATATAATGGGACCTGAGACCACGTTTTAGACTGATATAGATAAAATCTAATCAAAACAACTCAACTTCATGAAGAACTCTATACATTTCTATTTCTAAGTTCAGTTAGAATACTGTTCTAGAGATGTGAGCAGCATTCAGAACTTAGTCCTTCTTTTTCTTGTGAACATAGGAGCCAGCTGGCTGGGTCCTGATGTGATGTCACACCAAATAATTTTTTAAGAGGTAGAGTAAATACCATCAACATTAATTTTCTGAATACAATCCAGAACAAATTCTGATCATTCTAAAAATGCCACCCTCTTTCATGAATAAGTGGACAATATTCTTCTCTGTTTATATATGTTACTTTCAGGCACTGTTTTCTGCATCATTACTTCAGAAAACAATCATCACAAATGCAAGTTTCTTGTCACCCAACATCTTAATTTTTATTCTTGCATATAGGGCAATACCGTAGCACAAACCAAAACCTGGGGAACACAGAATAGGGGCACATCATTACTTTGACATAAATAATCATTTATTTTATTCTGCCAGAGCAGATAAAAAGTTGTAAAACTTTTAGATTGTGCAGATATTATTGAGCTTCTCAGACAACGATGGGAACATCATTGTACACTGTGTCTCCTCAACAACAGTGTGACTAAAATTTTTATTTTAATATTCATCATTACAGTTACAGTACAAAAAAATTAATACAATTAAACCAAGGAAATGCAAAACCTATCTAATGGTCATAGTGAATTAATAAAATCAGAAAATTCTTTTAACAACTTGTTTCCATTCTTGGTGCGAGGACACTGTTCAGCTATTGCCCTGATGATGTATATAGCCAGGTTCTCTGGAACCTTAACAAACCAGTCCAACATAACATGTACCAAGAATGGGAAAAACTATAATTTGCCATCGGAGCCTGAAGATTTGTCTTCACATACTCAGAAACATTTAAATACTTGCGTAGAACATGTTACTCCAGCACGTATTTAAAAGTTTCAAATAGTTGTTGCTTAATTACATCACAGCAATGAAGGATACTGTCTATTGCCAAAGTATATTTGCTATTCACAGCATTTCAGTAGCTATCATGTAAACAGTTGTCATTATACCAAGAGATATTGTTAACTGCTATGATTTCAGAGATTAGTGACAATAATCTGGTTCATATATGACACTTTTTAAATATTGGGTTTACATGCTAATCAATCTGACCAACAGCCACAGTACTGAACATGCAATTCTATGCACAGAAAGGTATGCATATTAATGTAGATGTGTGCTGAGCCAGAATCAGCTGGTTTAATGAGAGACGTAAGCCTGGGTGCCGGTGCCAGACAAGAACAAAAATCCTAAATAAAGAGCAGTTCATCAGGGTTATAACAGCATGGAAAGCTCATTATTAACTAGAATCTGACCAAGAGGCCCATTAGATTTCACTGTTCCCTCAATTGGCAGCATCCAGCACCAGTCCTGAGAGTTCAAGCAGAAGCAGGAGACTTAATGGCATCTGGCATCAAAATACATTATTAGATGTTGATGTGAAGTACAGAAGAGAAATAAAGTACTTAAGTACTTTTTTTTTCTGATAACCAGTAAATTTGAAGCTTGTGTCATATTATTTCAATTTATTAAGAAATACCACACATAGGGTAAATGTACGCAGAGCAAACAGATGCTGCAACACGTATACCATATCTCATATTTTTATATTTTTTTTCCTTGGCACTACAGCCCCAGTGGGCCTAGGCCTACCTCCATGAACTCCGTTCACTTCGGTTTTTCTAGATCTTACACATACGGTAGGACTCCTTGGGTGAGTGATCAGCTCGTCGCAAGGCCTCTACCTGTAGATAAACACAATAAAACGCACACAAACATCCATGCCCTGAGTGGGATTCGAACCCACGATCTCGGCTTCTGAGCAAGCGAAGACAGTGCATGCCATATTTTTGTATATTTCCGTATATTATATTTCAAGGTTTATATTTTAAATCACAAAAGAACAGACAATGTTAACATAAAATTTCATAATAATGAAAATATTCCATTCTCATCAACTTCTACAATGACAATGTCAGTATAATGACAACCAATTACTTGACGATGGAAGCAGAACCATTGTCCAAAATACTACACACATAAATTATACTTCTTGCAATGTTGAATGTCAACACAATTGTGATTTAAAATCATTATGGCATTAATAGACGTACAAACTTAAAAAGAATCTTATAAAAAGTGAAACTTATATGTACTCATAAATATAAGACATGTATGAAATGTATTAGGTGATTTTGTTATGAACTACATCTTGTGTTGTAAGGAAGATACACATTTTGTCAATAACTTACAGCATTCTATAGCTTCCAAAATACAATTGGAAATTCAACAGGTAATCAAACTACATAACTGTTTGTGCAAATAATGATATATGAGATCACAAAATGAATGCAATCATATCTTATTTTACAATGTATTTGGAAAATGCTCCATATAGTAAACATTCATATTATGTCAATGTAATAGGATCTTTACATCCTTTCTGTCTGTAAAATTACAAGATAATGTCAGGTTAGGGAGGAGAAAAACATTAAAAACAGAGGGTGTGTCCTGTGTAATACAATTTTCCTACTGTATGGTGCACATTTACAGTATAATAACCCATAATGCAACTGCAGAAAATGAGTGAAACTGTGGCAATGGGAACCCAGAGGGTGAGTGTTACAGATTTACATATCTAAGTAAGTTTACACTTTCCTTTTCTCGAATAAATACTATCATGGGTAGGTCTGACAGATTGTGCACACAAGGAAAATCCATTTAAGATGCATCTTCAGATCAACCAAAAAAAAAAAAATGCGAAAACACAATACGAGCTTTTAGGCTACTGTATGCCACTTGAACAGCTCCGGGAGCCCTGTGCACATATACATGTCCTGATTCTTTGTAAGCTGAGCCATAACTTCTTATTCTCTTATGAGCAGAGTGTCCTACATCAAAACTGCTCATCTAGCAATGATTTGCAATGCAGCAGTGATTTCCCTGCTTCCACTTGCAATTCCACCAAATTTTTATATATAAACAATTATTTAACATGTAACACTGGAGCTGACAGTCTCAAAAACATGTCATTTGTAAACACTGGCATCTTAAAAAAACAAAGCTGTTGCACCCGTACAAAGAAACTTAAATAAAATAACTGGTTATGCGTGCTAAAATTGGCAGTTCTCTTTCTACGGAAGACCAAGATTCCAATTTGTTTTTCCCCTACTTGGATATTAAAATCTTGCTATGAATATTTATTTCAAGTTTCCAAAGGTAGAAACTACTGCACAGCTTCCTGAAAGCTACAATTTTCCAAACTGAAATACTTCATTAAAATTTAAATATTGTATCAAAAAGTATAAGCATTGTAATTTCAGATGTATTGTTTTTCTTGAAAGTGGACAGCCCTTGATATAATGTTACTGAGATGTAATCATGTTAACAATGCCTAAACATATAAAAAATACATATAAAACAATTCTATAGCTTGGTGATTCAAGACTAGCTAATGGAACATGTCACATTACCCACACCACACAACATACTACATCCACTCACTAGTAGAAACACTGATGCTGATAATGATGATGATGATGGCGGCAGCAAAAACACTAATCTTCTCTCTTATCTTAATTTGGTGTTCAGCAACAGAATGTGGACATAAAGATGAAGATATTATTCATGTTATCTCAATTTTTCCTCTCATGACAGTATATGAAAGTTTCTTCGTAGATGTGTTGAGCTTTCATTCTCTTATTCCATTCTCAACCCTGAATTAATGTTACATGCTCTGAATATCGGTTTTACTGACATTATGCCTACTACAAATTTAAAGTTTCACAATATACTGTCCATGTTCCAAAGCATAAAATAAATGGAAAACACTTTCTGACAAAAACACCATCAGTGAACAATTGCATTTTTATCCTACAGTCAGAAACATATCAATATTTATTTCCTTGATTCCTTTGTGGACAACATACACAGAAGCTTCATAATAAAGAAGTAAATTGCTGATGAATCACTGATGAATGAATGCATGAATGACAACAGTCATTTCATGACCTAGCTAACCATACATAATGCAGATTCCATTGGTTCTTGGAGCATCATATGGACTTCTCCGGGTGGATGGATGAATTAGGTTGGCATCAGCACCACCCTTTTTCCTCCGGGAAGTGATCCCATTTTCTCCTTAGAGATGGCACCAGGCAGCATCCTTCAAAGAGTCTTAGCTCTCTCTAACAGATCTTCTACGAATTTCTAATGAAAGGATATAAAGAATAATTAGTGAAGGACAGAGACATCAGAACTATAATTAGCAAGGGGATGGGGTACATGCTACAGAAGCATGTGTGAATCAGGCTTTTTCTCATTATGGGCACTACCATTTTATACTACAAAAGTTGAACTTGAAATGAGAAGAATTTAAAACCAGCTTATGTGGTGGAGTAGTAATGTAGCCTGAATATGTTAAAGGGAGATGAAATACAATTTTTCAAAACAAATTCACGCTATCAGAAATACACATAGCAGGGCAAAGTTACAATTCTTCTTTGACTTGATATTGCAGTATATATAATGTGCAATACATACATTTATAGATTTGAAATCAGAAGAAAGAATTTACAAGATTACCAGGGACTATAATCCTGAGGGTATGAAGTGAGAAACAATAAAAGAATCAATCTACTCATATTCTTCGACATAGCCATTCAGTTACATTATGATGGTAACATAGTTAATGAACATAAAAGGGAAAATAACTATTAGAACATATTGTATATTGTAGAAGAGCTAGTCATATGTTTTATAACTTATTTCAAAATTAACGTATATAATTAAGCAGATAAGATTAAATTTTACTCCATTTCATTTAATAATGCTATCCAATTACAGCATAATATTATTTCTTTCGTAACTACCCAACATGCTTCAACCCTTGAAGGGCAGTCATGGAAGTACACCTTCGTAATATCTAGCATAATCATTCAAGGTTTTCATATTATTCATCTCCCATCTTAAAATTCTTTTATAATTACTACAAATCAAGTAAGATTACATGTGTTATATTTTAGCATCCTGTTGCACTGATTTAAGTCCATGATTTATTTCAACCGTCTTCCAGTGCATACACTCATCTATCTCACTCCTCTCTCTCGCACTACATGTTTCGGCACAAAAGTGCCATCTTCAGGTGCTTATTCGATTTACGATAAACTAGTTCACTGCATGCCTTGCCGTCTTCATATTAAAATAACTAAAANGAGTATAATGTATTATTGTATCCAATTTTATTAATACTGAAGTTCAGTGGAGTATATATGTTAACCATGTTTTACCTGATGATGGCTATTAATAACCGAAACATGTAGCACAGTCAAAACCAGGCACTGACCTTGATGTGGTTGTGTTGTGACGGTCTTAATAAAGAAGTTATAAATCCCTTTTATATTCGCATATTTTCCTCAATATTTTATCTCAAACACCTTCACCTCCAGCTCTTGAGACAACATTTCTTATACATATAAAAGACGAGCATCAGGCCTCGTTCAATATGAATTTTTGTTGTTTGAAATAAAATGAGACAATAAAAGATTGTAAACTGAATAATATAATTGAATTTACTCAGCTCATATTAGTGAAAATATTTCGTGCACTAGTGTTATGTGATAATAGTCACACAAAGTACTACCTTCCAGTATGTGACATTGTATAGTCTAGTAGTTCAGTGATGATTCAGAGGAATGTACTGCCTCCATCTTCAGGGTGAAAGAATATGCCAGGTAGGCAATAACAAGCACAGTTCTGCTTACGATGTTAATTATAGTCAGACACATGTAATGTACTATGATTACTTTGTCAGCAGGGCTGCTGGTAGCGGCTGCGTGAGATGTACACAGTACAAGGGGGGAGCCCTCCAAATACGAGTAAATCAAAGGCAAATCCACTACACTAAAAAAATTTATGGGCTACAAACTTTTATGCCTATAAAAAATATTTATGAATATATATAAAAGGCAATGTTTAATCCATACAGTGATCATAAACTGCCTCACCCTGATATTTTCATGCCTACCTTAACATCATGCTGTGACTTCTTGGCATCTGCCAGGAGCTCCTGAAAGAAAAGATACAGGCATATATCTGTATTCCCTTAAGCACATCAAAGGCATATAAGTCACATTAAAAATAGTGATCAGCAACAATCTGGGTTTCAAGTAATGTAGGGATTATACTGAATCATTAAGGGACAAATTTAATTAGAATATACCCCAAATCACACATAGAATCGAAGCCCATTCAGCAGTCCATTTTAAACTTTGTACAACGCACACATGAAGCCCCAGCAGTCCTTATCACTTGGAGCAAAATCAATGTGTGTGCATACATCAACTGATAAAATTTCTGAGGCAAAAGAATAGAAAATCTATGAAAGCAAAATTCGTTATTGTAAAAACATCTGTTTCAGTTTCATCAAAATAATTTCAATTTGGTTTAGTTTTACTAATATTTCACTTCTAATAAGGTTATAAGCCGGTCATGGTAGCTGAGCGGTCTAAGGCATGCACTGTCTTCGCTCGCTCGGAAGCCGGGATCGTGGGTTAGAAGCCTACTCAGGGCATGGATGTTTGTGTGCGTTTTTCTGTTTGTGTACAGGTAGAGGCCTTGCGACGAGCTGATCACCCGCCCAAGGAGTCCTACAGAACGTGTAAGATCTAGAAAAACCGAAGTGAACGGAGAAGTTCATGGAGGTAGGCCTAGGCCCACTGGGGCTGTAGTGCCAAGGAAAAAAAAAGAAGTTATAATTCTGCCATGTCAGATCTTAGTGGTCCTGTAAGAAGAGAACGGATAGTCTAATATCTGGAACATGGTCATCCCCTTAGAGCACATATCCATGACAGTATTCAAAAGACAGGTCACAGACACTAGTTATGGGCTCTCTCATGAAAGAGAGTGCAAGATTTCCATCTAGCTTGCCCAAGACATCTAGCCCACATTTCTACTGAAGGGAGGGAGGAAAGGAATATTTCAGTGTGGAGTTCACAGACTTACCAAATGCATCATCTGTGATTTTGTAACTCACTGTTCTTAATATTCACTTACTTGGACATAAATGTACTCGTACTATCACAGTCATTAACAGCATATTTCCACTTGTATTTTGTTATGTACTCTTACTGACAGATGATTCAAAGTGAAGTTATCCATATAATACAATATGATCTGCTGTAACGGGGTCATGTGGCTAAGGCGGTCAGAGGTTGGCATGTCACTGTAGACAACAGAGCATGTACTTCGAGTTTCTTTGGGTTTACCCAACTAATCACCACTCCACTATTGCTCCAGAGTCATTACCACCGCCCTCTGAGACGTGTGATAGCCCTGATCAGGCATCACATTATCGCATCCTCATTTGCGGGCTTCATCTTCGACTCAGCATTTTGCCTTGTTACAGAGTAGGGGAGTTTTGATATTTTAAGTTTGTGTAATGTATTTTTTTGTATAACGAACAACTTTCACACATTGTATGAAACGTAGTTAATTTTAAGGGTCTGTAAAGTGCATTCGAGACTTAACATGGTAAGAAAGTACAGCTATTCCTGTAACAGGCCATAGAAGCCTACATTTTCTCTAGACAGTCGGCTCACAGATGGCGATGAGCCTGTCAGACTTACGCGCCGGCCGCCCTTTAGCCCCTGGAAGATTCCTGGTACTCATTTCTGTTAGAGGCTGAGTCGACCCCACGGCCATAGTGCGGCTTGGAGGATTACGTCAACTGAAAAATCCAATCCCGCGACCTTCCGGCTTGTAGCATAGCGCCACAACCAACTACGCTACCTCGTGGCCCCTGGGACTCACATGGGGGGGGGGAAAGAAATGAACATAACGTAACATAACGTCAGGCAAACATAACTTCTGACTGCGCAGTTCCACAGCCATAGCGACATTAGCTTCGCAACAACGGATTTGTATTTGCAATAAATATAATTCAGAACAAGCGAGTTAGCTGACTTGTATCTAGAAGGCATCGGCCGGGATATCGACTATCTTGACCCAAGGTTTTCGTGGGCTTCCTCAATCACTGAAAGCGAATATTATGAAATCTCAGTCTCTTCCACATCCTTTCCAGTTCATTTTTCGTCATCATACATTTCTATTTCTATTCGACACCATATAATCTGAAGCACTGATGCTGTCGTTAAATAAACCAAAATACATAACAGATAAAGTAAAGTAAGTAAAGCTATCCCTGTAACAGGCCGTGGAGGCCCACAGGGTTGTGAGATGTTGAGGTTCCCACATTATCTAGACAATCGGCTCACAGATGGCGGTAAGGTTGTCATTCTTATGCGCAGGCCGCCCTTTTCCCCCCAAGAATATTCCTGGTACTCATTTTTGTTAGAGGCTGAGTCGACCCAGGGGTCATAGTGCGGCTGGAAGGATTAGGTCAACTGAAAAATTCCACCTCATCGGGATACCATCCTCCGGCCTTCCGGCTTGTAGCATAATGCCTCAGCCAACTACGGTACCGCGTGCCCCAAAATAATACATAAATCCTATATAAATAAATACCGGCCAATGAGGTATATAAACTCGCCTGAACGAATTCTGGAACGAACGAGAGACAGAATAAATGAAGGGCAGCATAAAAAAGAAAGAAACGAGAGAGAGGTATTACTAAAGAAAACATCCTTCCGTGATTATTCCTGTAGGAAAGCCACGTTCAGCTATTATGCACTTGCCTGTCATCACGAGGTGGCGAAGATCCGACTGAGGGCACAGATCCCTGTGGAGAGGCCGCTATAAATACATACTCTGTTCCATTGCTACTACCCCATGTCGGTCTGGAGACGTTCCAAACGGATACTATTTAAAAATACGAAATTATTCTTCTGGATGAGTTGTATACACGCGGCATCTTAACGGAAGTAATTTAGTTACCGATGTCAACAACCAAAGAGTCAAGATAATATCTTAACAAGACACTTTTGTTTCCGGGATTAGTTCTCGTACAGAATACTGCGAAACGGGCTCTCCTTCACTTCTGCGGCTTTTCCAGGATCAGTCAGTTTTACTGTCCAATTCAAAAACTTATATTTTGCCTGTGTCAGGTATTCTTCCTGGCGCTGCAGGTCGAATCGAGCTCTGAGCCCCTCTGCCACAGACTTTCTCTGTCTCCCTGGTCGTGAAAGTAGTTAGGACTCCTTGGACGGAAACTCAGAACATCACCTGGCCTCGAGGATCACTGAACAACACAGGAAAAGGCGGACAAGACCGCCCGGCCAACCAACAACCACCTACACCTTGAACTACAGTATTAAGATGCTTTTCCAAGTGCTTGTGAATCAAGAATTCCTTGCTCTGAAGGACGAAAATATTGAAGTTCAAAGTAGCAAGGAATACACCAGGTTTGAATTCATCATGGGTCTCACTGCTTTACGATGTGACTCCGTGAAGTCTGATAAATCGTTAACATTTCTCGGATTACATGGCGTCATATCCCAAAAGACAGTAATCTGTATAAATGAATAAGCTGTATTTAGACATAACAGAAGTATACGTGGAACTGAGAAAATTACACCAACTAATGCAAGCCTGCCGGGCATGGTAGCCGAGCGGTCTAAGGCATGCACTGTCTTCGAGCGCTCGGAAGCCGGGATCGTGGGTTCGAATCCCACTGAGGGAAAGGATGTTTAGTGTTTGTGTGTGTACAGGTAGAGGCCTTGCGACGAGCTGATCACCCGCCCAAGGAGTCCTACGTCTAAGATCTAGTAAACCGAAGTGAAACAGAGAGTTTCATGGAGGTAGGCCACGGCCTAAATTGGGGCTGTAGCGCCGAAGGAATACAATCCTTCTGGAACACAGACGTCAGGATGTGACTACAATGTATCATTTGGGAAGGGGATTATGAAGATACCAGCTGTCAATGTCAGGAAACTACGGGATGCAATACAGTCATTTCTCCCTCCCCGTGAACAAGTTACACGTATTCGAGACCCTGCCCCTTTCTCGGTTGTTTGGGTTCTGTCTGAACAGACTCCAGCTGTACAGCTGTCACATGAGACAACCTCCGCTTTACAGCGTTTACATTTAATTATTTTTCATGAACGTTCCGTTCCAGACCACATTTACTGGCACTAAAAAAGAGAAAGTAATGGATTTAACAGGGCTCAACACACGCACTTGTCTGTTCGGCAGTGAACACGATTGTCCCAAGCTCTGTCAGTGCGCAATCGTACCTCCCAAAGTGACCCATTATGACAGCTATTTGAATTAACATCAACAGGAAGGTACATATCAAAACTTAATATTGTTAGGGCGATTAAACAAAAGTAAAGATAAAGTAAAAGGAATAAAATGACGGTCGGAGAGAAAAAGAAAAATGCATAGGATATATTGGTTGGAAGAATCAACCAGAGAGACCTAGTCATAGATGACAAGACAACACTGAAATGGATATTAGAGACGTAAGTTGTGAGATGTGAACTGGACTGAACAACTCGTAGCTCAGGTTACGCCTCAACAGTAGGCCATTTTGGAGACAGTCTTTTAGAGGATGGAATTTCTTTGTCAGTTGAACAATTAGTCTGTAAACGTAAGGACGACACTGAACAACAAAGTTAGGAAGGAAGTTAATTATTAATGATTATAGGGAGCTGGGATAGCTCAGTCGGTATAGTGACTGGCTACGGGCTGGACGACAAAGGAGTTGGAGTTCGAGTTCCGGTAGGGTAAAGAATTTTCTCGTCTCCACGTCGTCCAGACTGGCTCTGGGGCCCATCCAGCCTATAAAATGTGTACCGAGGGCTCTTTATCCGGGGGTAAAGCGGCCATGGCTTGAAGCTGACCACTAGTGCCGAGGTAAAAAAAAAAGTGGATATACACATCCACTCACCCATACGCTTTTATGACGTAGTGCTTAATCAGTTAAACAGAGGGACAACTTTAACTTTGCCTTTACCATAAAGCGACATAGAACGCATCTGCACACTGCATAATCGAAAATGAAATTTAACTGCCTGTACCTTTCCTCAATCCTTCACATACGATTATTCGTGCTCGGCAGGCTGGCTCTGTTACAATCTCACTGCGTCCGTAAACAAATTACATTATTTA